GATTTTAATTAAGATAACAGGGAAAACACCCGATCCTACAGTAGTGATTAGTTTACATTGCACAGGGGACTTTTTGTTGATAAACTCATTAGTGCATTGATGCCAGACAGAGTCATGAGCTGAATCAGGGAGATGATGAATCTGAAAATGAATAATCAAACAGCTGCTTCGTTTCTACACACAGCTCACATGGTCTTATTCATCACCAAGGATCTCTTTCTGTTGTTTTCGAAACTCACAAACAATCATTTCATACAGTAAACAATAAACAGTGGCCACTCACCCTGAGGATCTCCCGGCAGATGTAGGCGGTCCATTCCTCTTTCAGAGAGTTTCCCTTGGTGTTCTTGATCAGGTCCGTCACTGAGCCGGCGCCACAGAACTCCATGACCAGCTGAACACACACACACACAAGTTGATTAATGAACGTTCTTCTGCAGCAACAAGCAGGTCTAGTATCTGATCCAAACAAGAGAGTAACTCCAAATATTCACCTTACTTAGATAAACAAAAGCTTGTATATAACCTTTTTTTTATTAATAATGTCTCATAATAAAATAAACAAAGAAACATTTAACTTTTTTTCTTTGAACCTACAAATGGCTTAATCGACAGTCAGTCAAGCAACTTGTAAGTTTAGTTCTGAGCCAATATCAGGTCAAATATACAAACATAAACTAGAGACATATATTTTATTTGCAGCATTTCTTACGTGTTTAAAAATGTAAGGTACTGCTCAAAATGTACTTCTTTTTAAGTCCACCCCTTGGTGTCATCTTTAAAAGCAGGGCAATTATTTTAATCATTTAATAATCTGACAAGTACCTGATTTGGTCTATACGCCTTCAGAAAACCGTCAAAACCTGACTGTGAATACTTAAAAAATAAAATATTTAAAGGTAATATATTTTCATCATGTGTAAATATATTTACTACGCAAATCTTTATACACAAAATTAGTCAAAAATATGTTTGGGATATATAATATTCCTTAGTACTGATATTGCTATTGGTCTGTTTCTCCAATACCAACAACTATGGTAACTCTTGGATGTTTTCATTTCCATTGACGCATGTGCACAGAATAAAATGTCCCCCACACACACACACACACACACACACACACACACACACACACACACACACACACACACACACACACACACACACACACACACACACACACACACACACACACACACACAACGAGGTCAGCAGTTCACAGGAACACATCAAGTCCATCTCTTGACCCAAACACAATGTGTCCATTCTGCAGTCAACCCCTCTCCTCTCCCTATCCTCAGCTGCCTCCTCTCCCAGACTCATTTAGGGAGGAGATTTTTTTGGGCACAATTTCAGCTACTGCTCAGTTCTGGCCTCGCTTCAAGCTCCTCTCATCATCACTTTGGATAACAGGGAGAGGAAGTTGGCGAGTAATGGCCGACCCCTTCTCCTCCAGGCTGTGCACAAGTACTCCAGCAGCACGCAAATACAAAAGAAAACTCATTTACGCATCAACATAACGGGACACATGTCAAAGCACGCAGACATACAGCTTGTGCACTTACTAACACACTCATACAGGCAGCTGTTGAGTCAGGAGGAATTATGCAGGCAGTATATCTGGCTGCTTTGTGTATATCCATATGGTTGTGAGTGTGTGTGTGTGTGTGTGTGTGTGTGTGTGTGTGTGTGTGTCCTCCCATTGTTACGTGATGAATGCTACAGGATCAGAGAAGGGAAAGCTCCCTTAGATCGCATTAACATTTGATTTATTGCAGCAGCCAGCGAGCCACGCACAGTAACTCATATCCTTTATGTATTTCACACAAAGTATATACACACACTTCAATGCACACATTCGCTGCGTGCTTGAGCAAACTCAACACTCGCTTCTTTCCCATAAGTGTAGCAGAGAAAAATGGAAAGTCCCTTCTTTCTTTTCTGCTCTGTGGCTCTCCTGGAAACGACAGCCTTCCTCTCTTAAACTCAGGAGAACTGAACAGAATATGAAACAAGCACCAACACACACACACGGATAATATCGTACCCAGAGCTGGTCATCTACGCCAGGGGGGTTTTTCTTCACGAAGGCTCCATAGTAGGTGGCGATGTTCCGATGGTGGCTGTACTTCTTCAGCATGTTAATTTCCGCTTTGATCTCCTCTTCCTCGTCCTGGCAGAAGAGAAATATCAACAGGCATTAAACCGCGACCTCTATTTGTGACCCCTCAAACATATTAATAGGATGGTGAAAGGGAATGGAGTTCAATCAACCACAATAGCATGACTTTTTAATTAGTTTCCTTTTAGGGGGTTACTGCCAAAAAGCGAAAAAGCAGATTTTAAGAACAAGTTGTTGTGATGGCAGTTGGTTAAAACGCTAATTTCTTATTGATTATGCACAATGTCAGAAAATGAGGCCTTGATTACGTTCATTTAGCGATCATCAGCTGTGAAAACAAAAACATTTGTTTTAGTAAGCCCATTTTGGAGCTCGTTAAGTTAGCAAATGTTAGTTTTTCCCCTCATTTGATTTGCAATCATCAATGAATACAGTCATTTATTTTCATTGTATTTAAGCAGATTTATTCACACAGTCATTCATACGCAGTTTATTGATGCTTCCCCCATCTGTTCCATTGGTATTTTCTTTCATTGGTTCATCGTTATACTTCATATGTTCATTTCCTATTCAGTCATTCATTCATTCATCAGTTCCTTTGTTGTTGTTTGACTCCGGCTGTCCTCATTGTTTTTCTGGCAGAATGAGAGGATCTCTAAATATAACTGAGATTCCCTCCTGCTTCAGACACGCCTGAGACCACGATTACTCTCAGCTAATATTACCATGGCGATAGGCCTGTCCTCATTTCCTCTCTGACACACACACACACACACACACACACACACACACACACACACACACACACACACACACACACACACACACACACACACACACACACACACTACAGACACAACGAGGTCAGCAGTCACCGCTCATAATAAGATGATATGGTTGACGGTGTTATAATCACTTGG